AAATCGGATTTCATTTAATCTAATTTTCCATATGGTATCAGAACTTCCAATCTAGGAAGCTCTATCTGCGCATTATAAACCCTAATTGCTACTGCATTTTTCTTAACCCTAAGACGACAGTCTGCATTGTTGCTGCATAACACCTTCTTGCTATAATGTCAAGGGAAGAGGAAGTTGTGAACCCAACCCAGAAACAGGGAATACCCAATCCCAGCAATTTGGAGAACTGCAGAATATCCATTTTGCATATAGACTAAATGGAAGAAATTATTTGAAGTGGACCCAACTTGTTCGTACAGTGTTGAAGGGGAAAGGGAAAGTTGAGTCACTGAAGGAGTCTGGACCTAAACAGGAGGATCCCAAGTTTATTACATGGGATGAGGAAGATTCAATGATCATGGCATGACTGTGAAATTCAATGATTCCAGAAATCAGCGACACCTGTATGTTCCTTAATTCTGAAGAAGAGATTTGGGATGTTGTAGAGCAAACCTACTCTAAAGCCAAAGATGTTGCTTAAGTATATAAAGTAAAGGTGAAAACTTTGGCTGCAAAACAAGGGAACAAGACTGTTACAGAATATGCCAATAAGTTGAAATCATTATGGATGGAGCTAGACCATTATTCAGTCATAAAAGCCAAATGTACTAAAGATTCAACACTTCTTAAGGAGTATATCGAACAAGACAGAGTTTATGATTTCCTTGTTGGGTTGAATCCTGAATTTGATCAAGTTAGGATTCAAATATTGGGGAAGCAAAAAGGTACCATGCTTCAATGAAGTGGTGACTATTATGAGAAGTGAAGAAAGTAGAAGGGGTCTCATGTTAGAGAGTCCAGCAGTAGAGAACTCAGCAATGGTGGTTGACCATAAAGGAGATCAGACTTTGGCCATGGTAGCCGAACAGAAGAAAGGAGGATCAGCAAATGTGGAGAAAAAAGGTGATGGTCTCTAGTGTACCTACTGCAATAAGCCTCGTCATATCCGAGAGAAGTGTTGGAAGTTACATGGGAAGCCTTTAAATCGAGATCGAGAAAGGGGACACAGAGGAGGCTCCTCAAGGAAAGGAGAACAAGTTTATGTTGCTACTGCAACAAATGAAGAAAATAATCCAGAAGCTACTACCCATTTTAACCAAGAGGAGATAGAAAGGGTGAGAACCTTTCTTAGTAAGCTGGAAAAACCTACAAATGTGTGTTCTTTGGCATACTCAAGTAAGTTTCCACTTTCTTTTGGATTAAATGTCTCAGATACACCTTTTAACCATTATTGGATATTGGACTCTAGAGCCACAGACCACATGACACCATTAGCCAAACACTTCTCCACATATTCCCCATGTCCCAGCAACAAGAAAATTGCCACAGCATATGAAACCTTATAACTGCAGCTGATCAAAGAAATATCCAAATTAATCTTTTAATAACCTTAAAAGATGCTCTCCATATCCCAAAGTTGTCCACCAACCTAGTCTCTATACAAAAACTTATAAAGGATTTGCCATGTAAAATTATTTTTTTCAAAGATCATTGTGTATTTCAGGACAAGGATTCGGGGAGGATGATTGGACATGCTAGAGAATGGAATGACCTTTATTATCTTGAAGATCCAAGTCTGTCCAACAAGAACAGAATCTCTCACTCCTTCATATCTGAATCCTTGATGACCAACAGAGAAAAAAAATCATGATTTATCATTGTCGGTTGGAACATCCCTCTTTTGGAGTGATCAAAATTATGTTTCCCTCTCTATTTACCAAGTTAGATGTTGAGAGTCTTCATTGTGAGGTGTGTGAACTTGCTAAGCACAAACATATATCTTTTCCAATAAGTAATAAAATTAGCAATTTCCCTTTTTATCTTGTTCATACTGATGTATGGGGACCTTCTAATGTTCCAAATATGTCTAGTGTTCGATGGTTTGTCATCTTTATAGATGATTGTACAAGGGTCACTTGGGTTTTCCTACTTAAATAAAAATCAGAAGTCAGTTCTGTCTTCCTAAACTTCCATTCCTTGATAAAAAATCAGTTTGGTGTTAATATTAAGAGGCTTAGGTCAGATAATGCCAAAGATTACTTCAATCATGTCCTTAATTCTTTTTGTCAAAAAGAAGGTATAATTCATGAGTCCTCTTGTGTCAAAACACCACAACATAATGGGGTCGCAGAGAGGAAAAATGGACATCTATTAAATCAGACTTGGGCATTGTTGTTCCAAAAAAGTGTCCCAAAAAATTTCTGGGGTGAAGTTGTCCTTATAGCAACACACCTTATCAATAGACTACCCTCTAGAGTCTTAGGATCAAAAAGCCCTATGGAAGCTTTGTCGTCTTTCTATCCAAACCTATCCACTATAAATAATCTTAAACCAAGAGTTTTTGGATGCATCTCATATGTCCATATTCATAGTACAGACAGGGGAAAACTTGATCCTAGAGCCTTCAAGTGTGTCTTTGTTGGTTACTCATCCACTCAGAAAGGGTATAAAGGCTACCACTTCCCATCCAAAAAATTCTTTGTGTTTAGGGATCTTACCTTCAATGAAAAAAGAGGGTTATTTCCATCAACCTTATCTTTAGGGGGAGAGTTTCAGGTAAGATAAGGAAAGTAAGTAGTAATTCTGATTTTTCCATTCTTCCAGACTTGATATTTGAACCTAAACGAGATCAAATTGAAGCTGTAACAAGTGAAACAAGTCAAGGAAGTGAAGTTGGTCAAGGAATTGGTCAAGAAAAGGAAGCTAGTCAAGAAAGTGAAATTAATTGTGAAACTGATCAAGGAGATGTTGAAGCTGGAAAATTTGGTAAGAAGCTGGTGTACTCAAGGAAGACTAAGGTCATTCCAGGATCAAGCCATGTTTAAGAATCCAACTCGACTCTACAAAAAGAGGTAACAATTTTTTCTCCAGTTGTGCAAGTTGAAATTGAAACCCAAAATGATCCTGACTTCCCAATTTCCATTAGAAAAGGGACAAGAAAATGCACCAAACAGTCACTCTACCCTCTCTCAAATTACCTGTCCTTTAAAAATTTCTCTCCTGCCCATAAAACCTTTCTAGTAAACCTAAATACTGCACTTCTACCTAATACTCTATCTGAGGCATTGTCTGACAGAAAATGGAGGCAAGCCAAGGATGTAGAGATGGAGGCATTGGAGAAGAACAATACCTGGGAGTTAGTCACCTTACCCATAGGAAAGAGGCCAGTTGGATGTAAGTGGGCCTATACAATGAAATACAAGGCTGATGGATCAATTGAGAGATATAAGGCAAGACTAGTTGTCAAAGGGTTCACCCAAACCTATGGAGTTGATTATTTGGAGACCTTTGCTCCGGTTGCCAAAATGAACACAGTTAGGGTTATATTGTCCCTTACTGCCAATTATGGTTGGAACTTGGAACAATTTAATGTTAAAAATGCTTTCCTACATGGAGACCTTGAAGAAAAAATTTATATGGAGATACCTCCGGGATATGGTAGAGATGTTGCTGCCAACACTGTTTGCAAGTTGAAAAAGACATTATATGGGCTAAAACAGTCCCCCCGTGCATTGTTTGGCAGGTTTACTAAAGTTATGACAGGTCTAGGTTACAAATAAAGCTAAGGGGATCATACTTTGTTCTTTAAACATTCCAAGTTACGGGGAGTAACAATATTATTGGTGTATGTGGATGACATAATATTAATTGCAGATAATAAAGAAGAGCAGCAATTGTTGAGCCAATGCTTAGGCAAGGAATTTGAGATCAAGACCTTGGGAAAACTAAAATATTTTTTGGGAATTGAAGGTGCCCACTCCAAGAAAGGGATATTTATATCCCAGCAGAAATACATCACTGATTTGCTCAAGGAAACTGGCAAGGTAGCTTGCAAACCTGCTAGTACCCCATTAGAACCAATCCTAAAGCTTGGAAATGCAAAAGATGTTGCTGTTGAGAAAGATATGTGCGATTAGTGGGAAGACTTATATATTTGTCGCATACCAGGTCAGATATTGCCTATGCATTTAGTTTAATTAGCCAATTTATGCATAGCCCAAAGGAGACCCATTTACAAGCTGCCCACAAAATTTTACAGTACCTTAAAGGAACTCCAGGAAGAGGGATTCTATTCAAAAGGAATGGTAATGTGAAGCTTGAAGCCTATACTGATGCTAATTATGCAGGGTCAATTGTGGATAGGAGGTCAACTACAGATATTGCACCTTTCTTGGAGGAAATCTTGTAACTTGGAGAAGCAAAAAACAGGGTGTAGTAGCTCGGTCCGGTGCTGAAGTGGAATTTCGAGTCATGGCACAAGGTATATGTGAGTTGTTATGGCTTAAAATCATCTTAGAAGACTTGAGGATTAAATGGAAAGAACATATAAAGCTCTATTGTGATAATAAGTCAACAATCAGCATAGCCCACAACCACAAAGCATATTGTAGTAGACAAACACTTCATAAAAAAAAACTCTTGATAGTGGATTGATATGCACTCCATATGTGTTCTCTCAAGACCAAATTTTGAGAAGATTGTATCCAAGCTAGGAATGGAAAACACCTATTCACCAGCTTGAGATGGAGTGTGGGAAATCAAATAGTATTTTAGGAAATAATAAATTAAGAAATTTGTATATTTCCTTGTAATCTGTACAAATTTGAATAATTAGGAACAATCCCATAAATTAAGGGATCTTAGAATAAAATAAATTTATTATATTTCTTAAAATAACTTAGATCTCTTGTATATATCTTGTATGATCTCTTTGTATTAAAAATAATGAAATCAGATTTCATTTAATCTAATTTTCCATTCGCACTGTCTCCAAACTGCCAAGGAAATGGTATCTTTGGCTACAGCGTTGCTGGATCGTGATTAAGCTTTATGCCAATTCAAGTTTCATTTGCAGCGTGTCCAATAAATTATGAAAAAGTATATTGATTCCCTTGGCCACTACATACCTCTTTTTTATTGGGTTATTGGGTCTATGTCAAACTTAGACCTCATAAGCAACGATGTGTGTCACGTCCATCCCAAGTTGTCGCCACACTATGGTCCTTTCCAGATTGAAGCTTTCATCAGCCCCATGGCGAGCTACAACTGCCACCATCTGCCTGAATTCGTCTTGTATTCCATGTGTCACAGTTCAAGAAATCCTTAATTCTCGTTCTATTGCTGTTGTGTTGCCCCAAGGACTGGAAACTGATGACGAAGAGTCTCCTACACCAGGCTATTATAGCTACTCAGGGCAGTCAAGCGACAGGGTGCTGTACATGCGGAATGGCTTATTCTATGGACGTCCCTACCCGTGGAAGAAGTTTCATAGGAGTCTTCTACTTATGTCCATAGAAGATTTCCTAATTTCTGCCTTGAGGACAAGGCAGATTCTAGAGAGGGTGGTATTGATAGGAATTTGCCTCTGCCCCAACCCTATAGAGAGACCCTTTAAGGTTTAGTGGGAGACGATTTGTTATGTGGGGGAAGAAATGGGTAGTGGGGATTAAGGAAGATTTGGAAAATCATTGGGAGTCCACAGATCTTTCCTGACTTGGGGGAGCATAGCTCTCATTTCTTATATTTGCTTTCCATCTAATGATGCAATACAAATCACAGCACTGTGTTAGGTGATTTTTCCTAACATTAGATCTTAAAGACCTATAATCTTTCGACCCAATAATAGTTTTATTTGGACAGGGTGTGTATGCACTAATTGCTTAGAGTCTTTGTGGTAGAGAGGAGAGAGATAGAGTGAATAGAAAAAATAGTTGACAAATAGACTATAAAAGTACTAGTGATACCTACTTACTTTTAAATCTCAAATTTTTTCTCTATCCTTACCAAAAAACCCCGTTTAATTCCATCACCCCTATTTCCACCCCTCCAACCAAACTTACCATTAAGGTGAGGTTATCTTCTTTAGCAAAATTCATCTCCCACTACAAAAGATAATCTGCTGTGTATTAGATTAGCTTATTTTTGGAGAAGTACGTGTATTTTTTTTCTTCCTTTTCAGCTTCGTAAGAAAAGTTGTTTATTAATAAATAATCAAGCAAACATACAGAGTGTCAGATTTTGTGGTTCTACTAATGGACAGTAATGTTGAGTCCATGGATGGAATAAATTTTCCAGTAGAAATAGAATGTCTCGTTTCTTCATTGCATATTTGTGGTACAACTATTTCATGCATTTCGTTCCCGTATCATTATTTAAATTGTTTGTTCCTGTTTTACAGCTCAGATGAATATTCATGGAAGAAATCCAGAGATTTGCTTGAGAAGGTTGTTAGACAAGGAGAACTAACTGGTTATAGAACCCCTTGTCTCCTTATCGCTGCTAAAGATGATTTATCTCCATTCCCCAGGGCAGTACTAGATTCGGTGAAGGTAACGAGATTTCCGCTCATGATTTATCATATATTATCATAGTTGCATACATGATGATTATCCATAAAGTTCTAGCCATAACAGTTAGTAGTATTTTTTTATCATCTTCTTATCTTCTTGTATAGGTAACGCAGGAATTGGGAATAAAGGCACCTGTTCACGTTAGTATGAAATTAGGTGATTCAAGTAATGTGTATAATAAAATTGTTAATGCAGCAGAACACCCTCATTTGAGCATCCCAGAAACTGAGATTTCACGAAGAAAGAAGCGACACCACCAGCTTCTTCATCACACTCTTATTTTTGCCTTGGGTGCGTTTTATTATATCAACCTCTCCCCAGCACTTGTTAGATTAACACGCATACACTACAAACTTGCACAATATCCATTTTTCCATTGTAAGTGTTAAAACTTTTAAATGACTTTGTACCTTGAATTTACAGTTGGAGCTGCCATGGCTGTTACCGGTTTGACAGCTTGTCGCGTGCGTGGAGTGAAGAAGAATGCTATTACTGCTTAGCAATCAAACAACCGTTATACTATTGCTTCTAATTTGTTAACAATTGACTTCATCACCAGTGTTTTGCTTTCTAACCTGGACTACCGAAAGTTAAATATTTGATGTATAGTAATTACAAATCACCTTCATTGTTGTAAGCATGCTTTAATAAGGATTCTTTAAAATGGTTTATATGTAATCATTTTTCTAGTGTTTAAATTTAGAATAATTTTAGTTTTGTTCTCTAAAATTTTAAAAAGTTTATCTGTCCCTAAAAGTTAAAAAAAAAAAAAAGATTTTAATCCTAAAACCCTAGTGTTTAAAATTTTAACTCTTTTAGAAATTTAGTGTTTAAAAACTAAAATCATACATTATTATTTTAGAAATTAGAACAATTTTTTAAAGTAAGAAAACTTAAAAAATGATATATTTAAAATTTTAAGAATAAATACATAATTAAACCTAAACTTAACTAGTTTTTTATTTGGTATTAAATTTGGTTTGCAGTTGTGGACTCTCTAGTTGTATCAAAACATATCAAGACGTTTTGATAGGCCTTTACTATTCGCCGTGCCTTTTTTTTTATTATTATTATTATTTCCATTTTGTTATCCCTTCCAACACCCGCCTTTGGAGGAAGGAAACACAGTTAACTGTGAACTTTAAGATAATTATTGCAAATGTTAACAAACTTATTATTTATATATTTATTTGTGATTGAATGATATTAAAAATTGTTTTATCTGTTTGTCCATAGTTATTCTTAACAATTTTCTGTAAACATAAATGTCGTGTGAGATGTTTGTGTATAAACTGTTTTTCTTTATTTTTTTTTTCCTTGCATGTTTAATATATTAATGATTCACCTCCCTCTCCCCTCCCTTCAAAGGCCCAAACCTTTTGGACTTTGGAGTGTGAGACTGATTCGTGTAAAGATAATTTGTATAGGTTGAGTAGTGATAGCTTCACAAACTACGAACAATATATACAAACTTCTATGCGTGAAGTAATTTTGAAAAAAAAAAAAATTGCATGAAAAAATTTGTGTACTGATAACTTTTATGCGCCACACGCTAACAATACAAATGTTCTTTACTATGTCATTTAATTATTTATTGTTATGTACGGTAAGATTTCCAATTTTATAATAATTATTTTAAAAAGTACATTTACGGTGTTGTTATTACTTATCTAGGCTTTACTGATATCCAGATTAAACTAGCTTTTCTTGAACATGAAATTAATCAATCCAATTTTTGAATTGGAAGGCTTTACAAAACAAATTAAATTTGCAAAGTTTCATGTAAATAAAATATTTTTTGAGTCATCTCATGAAATTAATCGTAATTTATATATATATATATATATATATATATATATATATATATATATATATATATATATTATCTTTCAACTCATCAAGATAATTTTTTAAGAACAAACTCATGACCGATTAGAATTTTAAAATGTTATCCCAGTAAATATGAGACTAATACACTTTCGTGTTCCTAGACAGAACATTATTGTCCACGGTAAGTCGCGAGTAAAATTTTACTTCAATCCTACCTCTTAATCCTCTATTAAGAAACTACATTTCCATATGTTTTTTAATCTTGTATTATTTAGGGAAGTCGAGGTTAAAATTTGTTTATATATAATTTCTTCTTTCAATCCTTTAAGACGTTTTTTAAAGACAAAATCCTACTAAATTAGAGTTTCAAAGTAAATAATATCTCGGACGCGATAATTGATAATAATGATGTTATTATGTTGAGTATGAGAATGAGATACTCTCGTTCGTAAATGGAACAACAAAACTATTATAAAATTTTACATAAGTTATTAAAAATATACCATTATTCAATAAAATTTAAATTCTAAAAAGGTCATTAAGTAATTAAAAGATTGACATTATATTTGATAGTCTCTTAAAAACCGTAAACTTCAAGATTAATAAGGTATTCCAATTTTTATATTTTATTTTCTTTTAATCTAACTCGGAAATAGTTTATTTATCAAAGTTATTATATTAAGATAAAATGAAAGATAAGAATGAAAAATAATGATACTGTTAATGTTTTATCCTTGTTTTTTTAATCTAATAAATTTAAGTAGCTATCTTTGATTGATAGAATAGAAAATGAAAAATAATTAGTTTGAAAGTTATTTTCGGATTATCTATTTTAAGTTTACTTCTGAAATTACTTTTCTTCTTTCTCGTCTATCTATTATGATATGATGAGAAAAGTAAACCATTAAAATAATTTTTTTTATCAAGTTATCATTTTAATTTTAACTATTATATGTGTAATATGATTACCTTTTATAACAATTACTTCAAACATAGATTCTAATTTGTTGACATAGTAAATCAATCGAACTCTTTTTTAAACTAAACTTTTGTTTCTAAAATGATGGAGCTTAAAGAAAGGTAACTTATTTGGTAACATGTAAAATTATCATCGCACAGAATTAGCCAAGCTAAACTGTAAAATATTATCTTCACAACTCCTTTAAATCAAACATTCATTTAATAAAAATAATTCATTGTAATATTATAATATTAATAAAAAAAATTATGTTTGTATATTATCAAATAGAATTATAGAGTACTTATATGAAGAAAAAGTGGTTGTATAGATATCAGTGGTAAGCTAAAAAAACTGTTTTGAAGACTGCTTTCTGCAAGTACTTGCAACTTGTATGATCTTTGTAGACAGCTAAATCTCAACGATCTTATAACAAATTTGTTTTCCCTTTAATATATAGGAGCAATGATGGTTGTATTTGGGAATGAAAGCAAGCCTATGGAATTCAAATACATTACCGAAAGTGAATTCCCAATGATAGATGGAAGGAATTTAGAGAAAGATATGAGAAAAAGCAAGTGATATCTGAAATAGTTCGAAAGAGTTAAACTGCAAGATCATGTTGACGTCCCCATATACAAAGAGCTGTGAAACCCTACAGTGTGTATCTGACATAATTTGTCGTTAAATATCCTAGTGTTTCATTGATAATACATATGCAGATTCATGGTAATGTTTTTCAGCCATTATACAAAATTAAAAAGAATGTTAGAAGTGGGTTCAATGATTCAATGTTAGGAAGGATATGATGGGATGGCAGTCTCGGGTGGCTGCGGAAAACGAGCCCTTTTCCTGTTTGGTTAAGGTGCTGCATAAAGAGAAGTGGAAGAAATGGTAGTAATCCAAACGAAAATTTGCACAAGCCACCCCGGCTTTCGACACGTAACCACATAGTATTTGATTTGGTACCAGTTATTGTACCAGTCCCTGATCGATTTGAATAAGGAATTAGTGCTCTATCTTCAATTATGTTTCGGTACATCTTTTTATAAAGCGTGTGGTCCACATAGTTCAACTCTTGCGGAGAATCTAGCAGCAGAAGAGCACCAAACAGACAAGATAAAGGACTTGAGTTGAGTCCATCAGAACATTGGCGTCAACTTGAAGTGCAGCTACTTTAGGTATTAAGCCTCTTATGGCAGAGAAAGTGGGCTTGTGTTTCACCATGTTTGAAACCACTTGAATTGCACCCTTTTGAGTGGAATTTTTAACTACCCAAATGCTTGTTCATGTCAATTCCTTTGCCTCAGCCCATTTAAACTTCTGTTTGAATTAGAGCAAAAAACACAATCAGACCAGTGTTATCAAGTTTATAATACACACCATGCAAATTCATAGGAAGTTCATCCACTGTGCATAGATCATGGCAGACAAGAGGGGTGGGGGGTTTCTTGTATGGTTCTCCCTTTGTAACTTTTTACCTTAAATTGAAAACTGTCAAATTTGTTTTCCATACTTACATTGACTAGTGGGTCACATGTATTCGCAGAGGGATCAATGTGAATCCAATACAAAACGCTTTTTTTTTTTTTTTTTTTTTTTCAATTTAGAGAAACTGATATTTCTGCATGAAAATTATTTTTGTTCCACTTAGTTGATATTTTAGTCGATTTTTTTTTTAACCCTAAACACTAGTTTTAGAAGGATATAATATATGGTTTATCACTTTTATATCTAAATGATTAATTTTGAATTGTGCAATGGATGGAGTTTTGTGGATAAAAAATATTGCTATATAAGTATTTTGATGGTGGTAGGGCCTTAAAGGATACCCTTTTAGATTCTTTGGTTGGAATCAATTTGTCATCCACTGAGAAAAGGAAAAGAAACTATCAACTTGGGTTGGGGAGACCACCTTGAGTTATATCATAAAATTGTTAACCTTTTTACTAAAATCCCCAAAGTAATAGCAAATAACAATAAATCTAAAAAGACAAACAGATAAAGCCACCTCAAACATGTCTGTATCCTTAAAAACATCTGACACTTTAACATGTCGTTGAATTAATATTTTATACGTATTTGATAGTGGTCACATTAGACTTATTTAGTGATTTTACATTGAGATCAAATTGTCACTTTTTCTCATTTTTAAAAGCAATGTTTGTCTAGTTTGTTCCTACTACTGTACATAGTCAATTTAATCAATTGAAGTTTTTGAGAGTTTATATTTATAGTGGTTGTAAAAATGAATCTCGACAAAAAACACATGAAAAAAAATATCACTTTACTATCTTGCATAAAGAAAAAAAATTGTTTTATTAAGTAGAAACTTTCTCATTATTCCTTTGCATCATTTTATTCATCTCTTCTTCATATATTTTTATGCTACATCATGAGCTAAATTTTTTTATTGTTTAGATAAGATGATTCTGACTTAATTTTAATATACGTTCTCTGATATATATATATATATATATATATATATATATATATATATATATATATATATATATATATATATATATATATATATATATATATATATATATATATATTCTTACAAAGTTCGAAAGGACGAGGGAATGTTAGAAACTTAGACAATAAAGGAGTTGATTGAGAAAGGTAGAGTTTATGGCTCGAGGAAAATTGTAAATGTTACTTCAACAACCGACTCTTTTATAGGTTTAAATGTTCCACTGTTCAAGATTA